TGCTGGCAGCCTTGCAACTGGCACAAACTGTGTAGCCAGCCCGTGGCCCTTTAAGGGCTCCGGGGCCGGGAGGGAGGCAATAGAGTTTCCCTGGTGTTGGCCAAAGTGGCCACCAGGGAAACCTGGGAAGCATTAGCCTCCCACTAGTTCGAATTAAGGGTCTACACAGCCCTTTATTCGAACTAGCTAGTTCGAACTAGGCTTAATCCTCGTAAAATGAGGTTTACCTAGTTCGAACTAAGTGCTCCATTAGTTCGAATTAAGTTCGAACTAACGGAGTGCTAGTGTAGCGCCTATGAAAGTTAGTTCGAACTAACAAACGTTAGTTCGAACTAACTTTGTAGTGTAGACATACCCTCCTTCTTGTAACACAAAGACTATGGGTCAGGTCACTAAATGAAATTAATAGGTAGCATTTTTAAAATTAACAAAAGAAAGTACTTCTCACAATGCACAGTCAACCTGTGGAATTCCTTGCCAGAGGATGTTGTGAAGACCAAAACTATAACAGGGTTAAAAAAAGGCCTCGATAAATTCATGAAAGATAGCTCCATTAATGGGTATTTGCTAGGATGGGCAAAGATAGTGTTCCTAGCTTCTGTTTGCTAGAAGCGGGGAATGGGCGATGGGAACCTGTTCTGTTCCTTCCCTCCGGAGCAGTTGGTATTGGTCACTGTCAGAAAACAATACTCGGTAGATGGACCTTTGGTCTGACCCAGTATGGCTGTTCTTATTTTCTTATGTTCTTATAAAAAGGGTTTATTTTTCACTCCATTCTGAAAGCAGCTGAAATTAAAAAAAACAAACAAGCAAAAAACAAACCTTGAAAAGATGTCATATTGGAAAAATGTAAACACAAAAGTGATGATTTTGGAAATTATAACTAGATAAAAACAGAGGTTAGAATAGAAACCGTTATGCAACCTTTACTACTGGTAGGTGGCTGTTATGAGAATCTGAATCAATTCCACATTAGAGAAAAATAATAATAGAAACATAGAATCATAGAGCTGGAAGAGACCTCAGGAGGTCATCAGGTCCAGCCTCCTGTCCAAGTCAGGACCAATCCCAACTAAATCAGTCCAGCCAGGGCTTTGTCAAGCTGACACTTAAAAACCTCTAGGGATAGAGATTCTACCACCTCTCTAGGTAACCACCCTCCTAGTGAAACAGTTTTTCCTAATATCCAACCTAGGTCAGTTGCTGCAAGTAAAATAGGACAGTATGCACATTTTGATTTTCCTGTAAATGTGTAAGGTGTATAAAAGTACTCATCTGTGGATATGTGCATCTATTGGTATGTGTAAATCTTCTTTTTTAGTAGTGAACATATTGGTCAGCTTGTTAGATTTTCTTTAAAAATGCAGCAACACTTTTGGAGAGAAATGGTATACTACAGTGTTTCTTAAACTTTTTAAGACTGAGGAACACCAAACAATTTTTTTTATGAGGAACACCAAGGATTTTTTGTTGAGGGGGGGAAAAAAGGTTGGGGAGGGGGAAGAAAACGGTTCCGGGGGGTGAGGAAGTTATTGAGGGGAAAAAAAAGGGTTGGGGGAAAGTTATTGAGCTTTGCTCCTTTCAGGAGCCTGCCCCTTTCAGGGTGGCCATTTTGCATTCTGTTGTTCTCCGCGGCACACCTCTGACTGTCTTGCAGCACACCGGTGTGCTGCGAAACACAGTTTAAGAAACACTGGTATACTAGGTATTATTAGCCTGAAATATTTTCAAATAATTTTGTAATTTGTTTTGTTTTTACACCAACATTTTGTTTTTGCCATATTTTACTCTATTAGCCCTTTCACAACAAAGCTATCAGTAGCTTACTTTCTACTGTGAGTCAGTAATCCAAAATATGACATTACAGTGTTGTCGAATTACATAAAATATTTGGGAATTTTATTTCTTAAATAAATAGATTCAAGAAGTTGGATAAGTATGCTTTCTCAAAAAAAGAAAAAACAAACCACCAAACCCTAGCTCATTTTTC